AAATGTTAGGGGCTGGGGCTGTAGTTCAGTGGTAGAGCACTTGCCTAGCATGCACAAAGCACTGGATTCGATCCTCAGCACCAGATAAAAAATGAATAAAATAAAGGCATTCTGTCCATCTACAACTACAATTTTTTTTTAAAGTTACAATAGGGCTGGGGATGTGGCTCAAGCGGTAACTCGCTCGCCTGGCATGCACGGGGTGCTGGGTTCGATCCTCAGCACCACATAAAAATGAAATAAAGATGTTGTGTCCACTGAAAACTGAAAAATAAATATTAAAAAATTCTCTCTCTTAAAAAAATAGTTAAAATAAACATGTAAATTTTTAATAATCAAAAGTAAATATGTGCTGTTTTGAAATGTTAAAATACAAATGAATGGGTTTAATTTTAACTATGTATAAACAGAGTTGTTCAAACATTCCTTTAAACAAAACTATGTTTAAAGTTTTCTAGATATTCATAAAATTTATGCATAATCAAATGCTTTACTTTTCTTAACACAGACTCAAAATGCTTGTTGTACTTGGAACATTATTCCTGAGATTTGCAGAATGCCCTATGAATGAAAAGGTGGTGGGCTCCCTAAAAGATTAGTGTTCGCTTTGCATCATTACCATAAAAATGATAAAGCATTTATTTACCATTGGCTCAACAAACCAGAAACTCATATCATGTAACATTATTTCTTTACTCTCTCTATAAAGGAAAAAACGAAAAAAAGAACAAGTTCAGGAGAATGAAGTGTAGGCTCTATGTCAGTTCTGTGATCAAGGACATACAGAACAGAACAATGACCCTACTCTCTGAAAGATTCTACATATTAAAAAAAAATAAAAAGTCAAGGTGTATTGTACTTGAAGGAATTTTAAAGGTGAAAATAAAATTTCCCAACAATACTCAGATATCAAAAACCCAATCAAACAGATCACCACAAGAACTGAGAATTCTAGCTATGYACCACTTCACTGTAGTATGAAACACAGGCTGAAATTTACAGCTGAGTTTCTCTTGAGTTTTAATTAGTTAAAAAAGCTGGGCATGGTGGTGCACACCTGTAATCCCAGAGGCTCAGCAAGCTGAGGCAGCAGGATTGAGAGTCCAAAGTTAGCCTCAGCAATGGCCAGGTACTAAGGAACTCAATGGGACTCTATCTCTAAATAAAATACAAAAAAGGGATGGGGATGTGTCTCAGTGCCCCTGAGTTCAATTCCCGGTATGCACCCCCCACCCCCGCAAAAAAAAAAAAAAACCTAAACAAAAGAGAAAAAGAAAACCTCACCAATTTGTGAGTTTACTTTTTCAGCTGCTAAGCAGGTAAATAATTTTAAATGTAATAAAGCTATACTAATTAATAAAAATATGGAAAAATTAAGTTATAAAGATCTGAAACCACAAAATTCTGTGGAAGAGAAACTACTAAAAAGTCTTCCACATTTTACAAGAAAGTGATTTATTAATAAAAAAGAAAGTAAAAAAAAAGAAAAGAAAAAGAAAAAAGAAAGTCCACCAAATCTACACATAATCAAAATCAGTAAAAGCATAAAGCTGAAAGGTATCAACAGGTGCTAACAGTGTTGCTTCCATGACCCACTCCTAGGATTCCCCTGGGCCTTTCCTATGGCTGTCCCTCCGGACAGAGGCTCTTGCTGGTATAAATGCAGAAGGTAGGAATGTAGGAGATCTCAGCGGGATCTGGAATGGTCTATGAAACCCTGGGAGATCCTGTTTGTAGTCCTCAAGTGAACCATCTGTCTAGAAGTTCTCTAAAACAGAGGCAAGTTGCACCAGAGTTGCCTGGTTTCCATATAATGACAAACAACAACTACTGCATGCATACCCTCTCTCCATATCAGAAGTATACAGAATCCTTTCCTGGGCACCAAATCTCCTTTGGAGCTCATGTGCTTCCTAGTTTGGTCAACTTTCTATCATACATGTATTTCACATCTTATTTAATTCTTTTTTTTTTTTTTTTAAAGAGAGAGTGAGAGAGGAGAGAGTGAGAGAGGAGAGAGAGAGAGAGAGAGAGAGAATTTTTAGTATTTATTTTTTAGTTCTCGGCGGACACAACATCTTTGTTGGTATGTGGTGCTGAGGATCGAACCCGGGCAGCACGCATGCCAGGCGAGCGCGCTACCGATTGAGCCACATCCCCAGCCCCACATCTTATTTAATTCTAAAAATTTTGTACAACCCTTTAGCCTAACCCTTTTGACATAGCTAACACAAATTTGAACCCATTTGCAATTCTTCAAAGCCCTATCCATCCAAATTCTGTTTTGAATTCTATTTACTAATAATCAACAATCCAGACATATTCCAAGATCCTTCTCAGGTTCAGGATTATAAGCTTATAACATATAGTTAAATTGTGCCATCTTTTCATTTTGTACCTGCTGTTTCTCTTTAGACTCCCCTGAATTTCTACCATCAAGTTCAGGCTATTCTTGCTTCAACTACATTTTAATCATTGGTTCTCTTCCCAGAAATCATTTTCCTCTGCAGTGATTCCTGAATGATGCTAGTGATTGCCATTTGGGGATCGTCACACCTGTCTTTTGAATCCTTGACATGACTTCCCATTTTTTTTAAATGCTTATTTTTTAGTTATGGGTGGACACAATATCTTTTTATTTTTTATATTTATGTGGTGCTAAGATCGAACCAAGTGCCTCATGCATGCTAGACGAGCGCTCTACATCTGAGCCATAACAACATCCCTGACTTCCCATTCTTTATTTCAACATGGACTTATTATTAATCTCTTTTCAATTTTTTTTTAGTTGGACACAATAGTTTTATTATTATGTGGTGGTGAGGATCAAACCCAGCACCTCAAATGGAGCCATAACCCCAGCCCTCAACATGAACTTATAATGGATTTCATGCTCATCATGGTTTAGCAGTATAATTGTAAGCAGGAATAGTTACCTCAAAAAAAAAAAAAAAAAAAAAAAAAAGGACTCAGGTAATTAGGGCCCTGGAAGCTTTCTGGGTTGTGCAATCCCTCCTTCTTTGAATTCCTACCCATGATTTTGAACTTTTTGTGTTAAAAATCTTAATAATTGTTTCTGGTTTATTGTTAAATTTCTAGATCCTTCACGAGGATTATTACCAACTGCTCTTTATTGGAGTACTTCCTTATAGCCAATTACAATACATACTTTTTCCAGACACTTATTTTTCTTCATTTTAAGCCCTAAGTCAATTCATTCTTCAAAGCCCATTTCAAAAAAATCTTTTCAAGCAAACTATTCTAAGTTTTACTTAAATTTAATTTAAAGGGAGAGCAAGCATCCTTAATTCAAAGTGCACATGTCAATACCTGATTTACTCCAGAACTCTTCTGATTGTCCTCAGTTCATTTAGCAGAGTACTGGGTATCTTAGTGGGTTATCAATACACTTGGTAGACGAATCAGTTTCCCTATTAACATCATTTCCAGCTCACTATCACCTTAGTCCAAATCTCTTTCATTATAGAAAGAATTACTACTATAAGTCAAAGGCTTCACATTTATTATATCTGATATTCCTTTTCCATATGAATGAGAAAACAGGTTCAGTGAAACCCATACATATGTAAGTGGTAGAATCAATATTTGACTCCGGCCTATCTGGCTTCAAAAACCATGATTTCCCCCACAAAAGTTATTCTGTCCACTTAGCTGGGAGTTTTTTTTTTTTCACATATATGTATCTCAATAACAAATCCCTCCACTTTAGCATATTTCTTCAGAACTGAAAATTCTATTGTACCAAACGAATAATATTCTAAGCCTTGTATGTTAAAGCAATAACCCGCAGCAAGGTGATTCTTCCTAGCAATCATTTTGAAGGGGCTTTTTAAAGCTACACAATTTGAGATTATGTTAACTACCAATTTTTCCTTCCACATGCAATTTATACTAAGTTATCTTTCTTAGCTCCCAAGTGTCAGTTATTATCGGGGAGTAAAGTGTAGTCATAGTAGACCTGTTGCAAAATACTAGTGGCTTTTTAGTTTTGTTTTAAAGCCAAGGTTGAGGGGTCCAATACAGTCCCCCAGTCCTTTATGAATTTTTACATCCATGCCTTCCAAATCTACCATTTTCTAGTCCCCCGTTTTTCCTTTCTGAACAGGACTGACAAACCCCTGTTTCCCCCTGACACTTGTACTCCTGCTGGCCCTGTTTTGCCAAAGCTCGTTAATAATACAAGTACAGACCATCCTGGGAGGTAGTAAATTGGCAATTTCAAGATGTGTGTCTCCACTTGTATTAACTAGTAGACGCATACACTAGCCAGGGTGGCCACTAGTCTTAACAAATTCTACAACAGCAAGACAATTTTTTGGCAAGTTGGACAAGGGAAACCACAGTATGGAAACTTTGCACGAGTCTTCAAGTTAAAGCTTTAATTTGCCCTCATACAGGGAACGGTCAGGGCTTTCATCGCGGCAAGACGATACTTTGGAAACTGTCACTAGACTACTCAAACTGCAATCTCCCGCCCAAAAAAAGTGTGGCACATGGCAAGTCTAAAAAGAGCCTCTCTCCAGAGATCCTGTCCTCGGGAAAGACGCGTTGTGACCGCCTGGTCCATTCGGCTGGAAAGAGGTTAAAAAGGGGCAGGAAATCCTGTTTGTTTATTTCCAGCAGTCCTCAGAGCGGGAAAGGCCGGTATMCACCCGAGGACGAACCAGGTCCCAGTCCCAGGGCCTGGGCAGGGAAAAGCCGGGCCTCCAGGGCGCTCGGAGCCCCAGCCCCACCTGGCTTCCTTCTCCCGGTCCCTCTCCGGTCCTCGCCAGCGCTCCCATTATCCTTCCACCACCCCCGCCCGCGCAGGCGCAGTGGGAGCGGGCCTACCCGCGCCCCCGAGGCGCCGCGACCATGGCGGAGCCGGAGCAGGCCGGCAGCGGCTCCCGCGAGGCAAGCGCCCCTCTCCGGTCCCGCGGCCTCCCCGTCACCACCCGGGCCCCGGCCCCCGCAGTCGGCCCCTCTTCCGCCCTCCTCACCCGTTCTTCAGATCCACCTCCAGGATCTTCCCGTAGCCCTTAAAGAAGCGCTCCACATCGCGCTCCCGGGCCTGGTAGCTCAGGCGGCCGATGTATACCCGCGGCATCCCGGCAACGGCGGTGGCGGCTGTCCCCGGCCCCGGCCCCCCTTAGGCGGCGGCCGGCGAAGCGAAAGCGCGGCGACGGCGGCAACGGGCGGGCGGCGGGACGGACGCAGCCGAACCCCGGCGACGTACGCGAGCACGCAGCTCGAGAGCGCGCGTCTCCGCTTCCCCCACCCTCCCCCCAGGCGGAGGGTAACGGGAGGGAGCGCGCGTTCGCTTCCCGCCCGGCCAGCGCCGGGGGCGTGGCCTCCCCGGGGGCGCGCCGACGGGGGGCGGAGCGAGATGATCGACAGCTGGCGCCGGCCGCCCGGGCTCCGGCACGTTCTCTCGCGAGCTTGCTGTGGCGCCTGCGCCACTTTCTGCAGCTCGTGGGTTCGCGCCGCCCCCGGAAGTGTGTGCACCTCCGCGCGGAGCGAAATCGCTTTTGTCCTTTGAACCGGGAGTGGTTTCGGCATCAGCGCAGTATATCGGAATTAAACGGGCTTCGAAACTTGCGTATCTGTGATCTTGTGCTCTTAATGCGCGATGTCTCTGATCCTTTTATCGTCTCTTTCAGAGGGGGATAATACTTCCTTTCAAAGTTGTCTTGAGAATTTTGTGAGACTAGACACCAAAAATGCTCAATAAACTATACCAATGTTATTTTAAAATTATTATTTCTGCAGTGCTGGGATCAAACCCAGGGCCTCTGTCATGCTAGTCAAGAGCTCGACCCTTGGTTCACAACCTTAGCTTCTGTAATATTTTAAGAACAGGAAGCTGTTTAAATAGAAGCAATGTGAGAAGTGGGAGTCAGCGTTGGCGTTTGACTAGGCGTGACCCGGAGCAAATCACCCCGCCAATCGAACCTGTGTTCTAACCTGTGAAGTCTTGTCGGTGGACAAGATGGGGAGCTCAATAAATATTGGTTCCCTTCGCACCAACTGAATTTTCTTAGAACCACGAAAGGGTTTTGTTTCTCTGCTTTTTATTATTAATTTATTTACTCACTTAGTTTTTGTTACCGGGAATTGAACCCAGGCCAGGGGTGCTTAGCCACTGAGCCACATCTCCAGCCCTTATTAATTTTGAGGCAGGGACTCACTACATTGCTGAGGTTGGTCTTGAATTTGCAATCCTGTCTCAGCCTCCCAGAGTTACTGGGATTACAGGCACACGCCTCCAGGTCTGGCTTGTATTTATTTCTTTAAATTGTATTTTGAAAGATAATTCAAAATTCAAATGCTATGTAACAAAGTTTTCCTTTTTCTGTCCCCCAGATGCTATTTCCCTCCTCAAAAGCAATTTCTCAAATGTCCTTCCAGAGGGTGGGGATGTGGCTCAAGTGGTTCCGTGCTCGCCTGGCATGCGTGCAGCCAGGTTCAATCCTCAGCACCACATACAAACAAAGATGTTGTGTCTGCCGAAAACTAAAAAATTAAAATAATAATAACCTTCCAGAGGTTAATTTACCCACATAAAGCAGAGCTGGGTAGTACATACACAGTTCTTGGCTTAAGGTAATTTGAAAATCATTCCATAAGAGTACAAAAGGAACTTCCTCGGGACTATTATTATGGCTTATAACGTTTTGTACATGGTAATTTAACCAATCCTCTAGTGAAGGACATTGAGATGGTTTCCCATCTTTCCTCATGAGAATTGCTACAGGAGGAGCCTTGTATATTCATATATGTAAGATCTATTCCTGGAAGTAGGAATATTTGGGTTAGAGTGTGAGCACAAGTAGTTTTGGTAGATGTTGCTCAACACTCCATTAAATGCCTGATTCCCATATTCTCCCCAATACCAAGTCATCAGATGTTTTACCTTTTGTCAGTCCTGATTAATGGTATCTCTGGGGGGTTCAAATGGCAACTGTTTTTAATGGAGCAAGTCTCTCTTCATGGTTAAGATGGATTTATGTTTCCCTTTGCATGTCTGTTTATATCTTTTGCTCATTTTTCTTGATTTATAGGTCACTATATACTAGGAAAATCAGCTCTTTGTCAAATGAATTGCAAATATTTTTTCCCAGTTTGTTGTTTGACTTGTGACTTTGCCTAGAGGTTTGTTTGTTTTTGCCAGTCAAAAACATTAGGTATTTTGGGGATTAAATTTATCCATCCTTTGTTTTTCTTTGGTACCAGTTTTGTATTGTATTTCAAAAGGCCTTCCTCACTCTGAAGTTTAAAAACATTATCAACGACAACAAAAAACCCTCAGTTTAATCTGTTACTTAGCTTATTTTCATATTGCAATATTTTTTCTTTCTCAGTTCTGGGGATTGAATCTGAGGGCACTGTACCACTGAGCTATGCTCCTCTCAGCCCTTTTAATTTTTAAAAATTTTGAGAGAGGGTCTTGCTAAGTTGTTGGGGCAGACCTCAAACTTGAGGTTCTCCTGTCTCAGCCTCCTGAAGGCTGGGATCACGGGTGTGCCCTGGCATGTGCCACTGTGCCCAGCCTCATGTTGCAATCTTCAAACCATTTGGAATTTAGAAAATGTGAGGGTAATGCCTGACCTCACACTGCAATCTTTAAACCATCTGGAATTTAGAAAATGTTAGGATCGTGATTTTTTTTTTTTTTTTTGTACTGGGGATTGAACCTCTGAGTTACACCCCAGCCCTTTTTATTTTGAGACAGGTTCTCACTAAATTGCTGAGGCTGGCCTCAAATTTGTAAAAGGATCATAAGGTTTTAAAGAATAAGCACTAAACCTTGGTTGTCATATAGTCTCATCAATCTGTTGTACAGGAGGGAAAGAATCCACAGAGAGAAAATGCGTGTCTCCCAAACCTGCTTTCTCTGGAGTTCCCTAACTCTGGAAGTGGCATATCTATCCAGCAAGGAACTAAAGTTCAATCCCCACACTTGGTCTGTCTTTGGTTCTTCCTTCTAAATGTTCACAAATCTGTCTCCTCAGCATTCTCTCTTCCCAACCTACTTCAGGCCTCGACACATATCAGGGCTTCAACGCATGCTACTCTCTCTGCCTGGATGCTGGCTCCCTATCCAGGCCTCATATTTCCTTGTCTGCGTTAAATCAAATACCTACTGAGTTACGGTAGCCCTGTGTGTTTTCTTTCACAGTACTACAGTCTGGAATTAGCTTATTTATTCCCTTGTTCTTTGTCTTTCTCCTTCACTAGAATGTAAGCTTGCTGGTACTAGGGGCTGTGTTTTTTTTTTTTTTTCTTTTGTCTCTTTCTGTGTCCCTAGCATACTTAACAGTGCCTTTCATGTAGTATGTTCAGGGCAGTTATAGTTTGGTGTAGTGTCACATGCCTACAGTCCCAGCCTTTGGACGGTTGAGGCAGAAGGATCCCTTCAGTCCCGGAGTTGAGACCAGCCTGGATAACACAGTGAAACCCCTTCTCTCAACAAGTAATCCCTGCTTTTGAATGTGATGCTGAAGATTGAACCCAGAGCCTTAGGCAAGCTAAATGCAGGGTTATGGAAAGATTTCTCTTCCCTTTCAGAAGATGCCGTTGTCTCCTTGCCATCTACCTTCAGGCCAGACCTGCTGTCTTCCCAGGAATTTTCCTGCCTGCACATGTGGGCAGATGCAGTGCTGGGCTGAGCATTCCCCATCATTTCCAACAGTCATGGCTGGGCCCAGTGCCCTACCCTGGGCATGGCGCCTGCCAATGAGCACTGTGGGCATTGCCAAGCGCTTCTAGGCACAAGGACAGTGATGTCTAGAGCACAGGCTCCCACAGGAAACTTTCTTCTGGGCCTCAGTCTCCTCCTGAGGAAAGTGGGCTTATTTATCTCATCTCCAAGACAAGACATGCATCAGCACTGTGGGGTGGATGCTCCCTGGGGAGGACTGGGAGAGGCAGGCAGGCAGGCAGCTCCAGGGCATCAGGTGTGCCTGAGCGTTGCCTTAGGAGTCAGCGCCTGTTTGCCTTCCGGCTCTGGAGCCAGTTTCCACTTGCTCTTCCAGATTATTGTCTGAAGATTAGAAATGACGTCTTGAACTAGTATAGAAAAGATGATCCATTTTAAGTCAGATTCCCTTCTGACATTATTTTGTCTGTTTTCTCCCCTCTGCTAGCCTCATGCTGGCAGCCATTAGTTGGTGTTTGAATTTTAGCTGTGGAGGGCTGGGGCGGGTTTACTTGTCTGAAATTCCAAAGACTGAGAACTTCTGATTTTCCATAGTGCCTGTCTCTCCAAATTGTCCCCGAACCTGCTACCAAAGAGATTTCTCTGTAGCACAGCTCCACTGGGAGGTCTTTTGTCGCCTACTGCCAATAAGGTCAACCTCCAGTCCCAGCTGGGAATCACCATCTTTCAGGACTCCCTTTTACAGCTTTACATTGGTTGACTTGATTTAGTTTAAGTTAAGTCACTGAATGATACCATTCAGGATTAGGGACAGTGAAACCTCGTAAACCAGGTCCTGAGGTAGGCAGTTGAGACTTGTGGAAGTCAAAGCCTCAGACTCCTTTGACTTTCTCTCTGTCCCATTCTTAATGTGGTCAAAGATGGCTGTGCACCCTTCAGGAATCACGTTTGTATCCCAGCTGGGAGGAAGGTAAAAGGGGAAGAAAAGGGTACAGGATGCACCTGGTAACTACATCCTAAAAAAGGTTCCTAAGAAACTGGCATCTAACATCTCTCACAAGGGCAGACCTTGTTGGCTGTAAGGGAAGCAGGGAAACCAGTGTTTACTCCAACCTACCACGTGCCCACCTCAAAGTTCTAGGTTTTAATTCTCTCTTTTTCTTTTTTTTTTTTTTGGTACCAGGGATTGAACTCAGGGGCACTCGACCACTGAGCCACATCCTCAGCCCCGTTTTGTAGTTTATTTAGAGACGGGGTCTCATTGAGTTGCTTTTTGCCTCACTGTTGCTGAGGCTGACTTTGAACTTGCAATCCTCCTGTCAGCCTCCCGGAGCCGCTGGGATTACAGGTGTGCACCACCAGGCCTAGGCTCTAGGTTTTAATTCTAATGAAGGGAACGGATAGGGAAAATGAAAAAAGGTCCTGAGATCAATATTCTGCCTCTGAACTTTGCTTGACAGGTTTCTTAGTAATTTTTGTTTCCCTTTCTTGAGCTCATTATAACTATTCTTTGAAGACCAGCCCGAGTGTTACACCTCCAGACCCCAAAAAGTACAACGCATAATTCCCTTCAGTGTTCTCATTTCAAATGTTCCTCCAGATCTCCAAGCCTGCTGTTACCAAACCCCCTTCTCCCTGTCGGCCTTTTCCTGGAGTAGTCCCAGAGCCTCCCTCATCATGCCCACGGTCTCATTGCGTTCTCTACGCCCCAACTCTGTGGGTTTCCCTGCAAAACCTCATCTTAACTTTCACTCCCACAGCCTATGGACTGCCGCCTCTCACTTTCAAGCTTCCCCACTTGCCCACGTTGGCCCTC